CCAGGGCCTGCTGCGGCCGGGAATTTTTTAATTATATTTTTGTTTTAGATAGATTTATGTGCTACCGCAGCAGGAGCAGTACCCTGAAGCTTTTTTTTTGATTTTTTTATAAGGGGCGCGAGCGGGCCGAGCAGGTGCGCAGGGAGCGCGCTCAGCGCGCCGCCCGCGCCAAGCAGACGCAGGAGGGCCAGCTGCGGCGGGAGAAGCGGGAGCTCGGCCGGGCGGAGCGCGCGCGCCACGAGGCGCTGCTGCAGGGGCGGGCTCGGCGGCAGCGCGAGGAGCAGGAGGGCCTGCGGAGTTCCCTGGAGGCCAGCTTGGGCCGCGCGCAGGAGAACTACGAGCAGATGGTGGAGCAGCGCACCCGGGAGCTGCGGGAGCGGGCCCGGCGGGAGGAGCTGCAGGGGAGGCGGGCCAAGGAGGCGGCCGAGCGCCAAGAGCGGCAGCACCAGGCGCACTTGGAGGCGTTGGCCCGGGCCGGGGAGCGTCGGCTGCAGCACGCGGCGCAGGTAGCCGAGGAGGCGGTGCAGCAGAAGGCGCGGCGCGCCGTCCAGACTCGGCTGGAGAAGGAGCGGACCCAGCGCGCCAACAAGAAGAAGGTGGAGAGGGACGAAGACTGCCGCCGGCGGGAACTGATCCAGGCCATCGGGCGCAAGTTGGAGCGCAGCGAGCAGCTGTCGAGGGAGCGGCGCAGCGCGCTGGAGAGTGCCCGCTCCACAGCGCGGGCCTCCTTCCACGTGCGCGAAAAGGTTCGCGAGGAGACCAACACGCGCTCCTTCGACCGCATGGTGCGGGAGGCCCAGCTCCACGCCAGCCTGGATCGCAAGTGACTGCAGCCCTGCGCCGGCCAGGGTGGCACGCTCTGCAGGGTAGGGCCTCCCGAGGCCGCTTTGACCAAACCGTGGGAGTCCCCAGTTGGAGCACAATACTATGGCCTCACTAGGCTGCTGACGCTGAGGCATTGAGAGGACGGATGTGTGGGACCTGTCAGTCGGCCCCTCCTTTGTTTTTAAACACTTATTTCCTTTGGAGATGACATGGCACAATCCTTGCCCATGCCTGCCCTTGGTGGCTCCCACACCGGCCCTTGCCAAATTCCTCTTTGTGTCTTGAGGGTTGGACTAGAGAGGTTCTGGGGTGAGGGGCGGAGGGAGTGGGGGTGATGGCTCCCACCCCTCCTGCACTAGTTGCTCCAGGCACCTTTGGGACGCTGATGTCTGGGATAACATTGGGTTGCTGCAGCGGAGGGGGCGTCTCCTTGGCTCACCTCCACATCTCAGAATAAGGCAAATTGCACAAAACTTGGCAACCTCCAAAAAAAAGCACAGCTCTTTGAAGGTGACAGGGTGCACCCAAGTGACCCAAGCAGCTGTGGCGCGTTGGGTACGCTTGCCTTTTACTTGGCCACCTGAGCAAGTTTCCATCTTAGTCCTCTAGGTTTTCTAGTTAGACAATCATCTGCAGATAGTGGCCCCTTTGTGTCTTTTTGTTGTCTCTTTCCTAATTCTCCCAAGTGGCACAGGAAGTGGGTTGGTTTGGTGATGCTGTTTAGCTTTAACGGAAGCGCCCAGCCCCTGGAGGAGGTGGGGTCCTTAGGCAGCAGCGTCGCACCCCATTAGACTTCCTTGCAGGGTGGGTTCAGGGGAGGCGGCGTCTGACGCCCAGCTCCCAGTAGACGCCCACTGTTCACAGACGGCAGCCATGCCTTAAGAAGGAGAGCTACCTTATGTGCCTGCCAGGGCCGATCCAGCTGGCATCTCTGGCCCTGAAAGCAGACTCAAGGGTGGGCCCTGGAGAGCTTGGGGTGCAGGGGGCCCTCTGTGAAGGAATCGTCCCAAGCGCCCTGAGGACAACAAGGGTACCTGTGGCCGCTTGACCATGGCCGCAGAAGCTGGAGTTGCCTCTTTGCTGAGGCCTGTGCTTGCTGTGGTTGGTGGGGTAGCCCTTCCCCCTCTGAAATTCCGGGTACCCTCTCAGCTGTAACCGAAAGGTGTTTAATCCCTCTCTTGGTGCCTCATCCCCATCCACCAGATGGGGCCATCAGTACTCCTCTCCCGGGACCTCAAGGTCTCCTGGACCCAAAGCCCCGCCTCAGTATTCTCTGTTGGTCTTCTTTGTGCCTTTCTTGACCTGGAGTTGGGAGGCAGGAGGACTGCTGTGAGCCCAGCTGGTTTCTGGGAGCTTGGGTTCCTGGCGTTGCATCACGGCCAGATGGTCAGTTAGCCTCTGGGGGGGAATACTTGCAATACCAGGGCCAAGAGGCCATGGCCAGTTGTCAGCAGGCGACTGTACCCTTCTGAGTGCTTCCCTTCCATGAAGCCAAGATTGGCCCCCAGCCTTATCCACCTGTGAACTCTGCGTTTGCCAGAGAAGGTCGGAAGTAAAACATCACTTTTTATGATAAATTAGGATCAGGAAATAAAAATACCAGAAAGGAAAAATACAAGGAATCAGGGTAGAGAATTGCTACATTAGACATGTTTCATGTGTGTTCTGCCAGGCAGAATTCTCCCTACAATGGCTGGTTATTACACACACATACACACACACACATCACTTGTCAATCTCCTCCCCCAACCCCATCCCCTCGAATGCCAAACACGGATAGGAAGTGTTGTGTAGAAAGAAGTAGGGGTTAGTTGTTGCACTGAAAATGTTGTGAATCTAGGAAAGGAGCCGTGTACTAAGGCTTATTTAGTGAATGGTAAACTTGTCCCTTAACATTTCTTCTTGTTGGTGACCAGGTTGTCAGTGAGCTGTACTAACTTGTGTGGCTTGTGAGTCAGGGGCATTGAACTGAAAGGTTCATGTGATTCTGGTTCTTCCCTTGTGGTTCCTGAGTTGCTGTAGGGCTTCTGAAAACTTCAAGAATGTTCCACCCCAAAACCACGTACTCCCAAAGCGTGTGCACTCATGTGAGGAGACAATCTGGTCTTTGGGATGAGACACCAGAAGGTACACAGATGATCTTATGTGGCCCTTGCCCAGTTTGTTTCCTGACTCCCTGGGTGACTTTGGGTGGATCACCTCTCTGGCTTTGGTCCCCCTGACTCTAGGGTGGGGGGATTGTGACTGCTGCCCTGCTCTGCACACAAGCGCTGTGCGGATGAATCAGAATGCAGTGCTATGGCTGTGGAGCTGCAGGTGCAACTGCTGTAAACAGAAGGGTCACATGACTGTACTGAGGGTCACATGACTGTGCTGTGGCCAGAGAGTGCAATGCCCGGGGAAGACCTTGCACACGGTGGTCTTGAAAGGCACATGGCAGATCACAGTGCTGTGTGTGATGCAAAGGCCCAGCCTGAATGTCAGCAAATTAGAGGTTTGTGCTTGGACAGAAGCACCATGCAAAGGCAAAGATTTTGAAATAAAAAAAATCCATATAACCACGTAGAATGAAAGCAAATACAGAAACCAAACCTCCGCACAGGAAGGAATGGCTTCCCCAAATTCTGGCCCATCTACTCTGTATTCTAGGAGAAGTTCGTGTTTCGAAAGAGGAGCTTTTTCCAGAATCTTCATTGGGCTCTTTGTGGGTGTTTCTTATTCCTAAATGCAGCAAGACAACATTGTGTGGGGCCCAGGGCAGACGAGTGGAGAGCGGCTCCTGATGTATATTCTGATGGGCAGTGTTGACCCTGAGTGACATTCAAACACCCCGAACTGGCCTGAAAGCACCGTGCTGGACGTTTCCTTGTGCCCACGAAGTTGCAGCCTTGAGATGCCCACAGGTCTTCGACATTTCCCATCTTGGAACATCTTGTTCAGAAAAGAGGGAATGTGAAGTGGAGAGAGGAGGAAGGGGATGGATTGGAAGAAGCTTTTCTTGGGTTGGTTACCAAGGAAACAAGCGAGACAAACCATTTCAGATGAAATCATCAATGAAACTAGCCCAGTATCCTGTTCAGGCAGTGAGCAATGCCCAGGCCACATCTGGACAGGGAGATGGAAATTTCATCTTGAAAGCACAGACTGAACCTTCAATAGGGGGCAGTAACCAGGATGTGGGGAAGACGAAGAATCTGTGAGAAGCTGAAGCTAGACAAGTGTCTTAGTCCACTTTGTGTTGCTGTAACTAAATACAGGCCGCTGAGTAATTTGTAAAGAAAAGAAGTGTATTTAGCTCACCATTCTGGAGGTCCAAGAACATGGCACTGGCATCTTCTCGTCTCTGGTGAGGGCCTCGTGGCGTATGGCATCACGTGACGGGTGCTAGAGAGAAGTCGCAATAGGAGATAGGAAGCAGGAGAGGGGGAGGGGCCAGTCTTCCTCCTTTATGTCAGCTGGTTTTCATGGGAATTAATCCACTCCTTCAAGATGCAACCCACTGTGCAAAACCTGCATCAGTTCTTTTCTGAGGGTGGAATCCCCACAGGACCTAATGACCTTCCACTAGGCTCCATCGCTTTGCAGTCCCACACCCCACCCCTGCCTCACTGGGGACCCGGATGGGATCCTTTGGAGGACAAGCAATATCCAAACCACAGCGACGAGAATGCGATTTGTGTTCAGTCCATTCTGTAGAGGCCACCATTCATCATTGCCCCGCCCCCTTGAAAAAAGTCTGCTGAAAACAGAAGGGTGGTGCACAAAGGGGCTGTCTCTTGCTTGCCATTGAGTCCCCGTGCAGCCTGTGGCTTAGCACCTCCCACATGGAAAGCACATTAATACTAGGTAGAGGGAGCGGTAAATAACGGGCATGTGACAGGTGACCAGAGTCCATCTGTATAGAACAAATCAGGCAGACAGTCCTCCAGCCAGTCAACAGATTTTCACTGAGCACCTGCTGTATTCCAGGCACTGCTCTTGCTGCTGCTGAAACACTGAGTCTCTTTGCTGATTGGCCCTCGGAATCATGAGTGCCGTGATATCATGAACAGATATCTTTGTTTCCCCACTGGGCTTGCCTGCCTTGCCACCCAGGGAGGTAACCTCAAGCCTTTTCCATTTTTGGGGACCAACCATGCACCTGTCAACCAGCACCAAGTCCCTGTTGCTCTCTTTCAGAGGTGCCTTGATTAATCAGTTCAAATTCGTAACGTCATGCTCCTAATCCGCTCTAAATCACAATAAAAAGAGATTAATCACCTTGCAGGGCATTATCTGTTATGCCCTTGAGAGAAGCAGCATGCATAGTAATTGTGGATCCAGAGAACTGAGCCTCAGGCCTTGTACAAGCAGTTTGCCCAGAAGGGTACTGGCTCCATCCTTCAGCTGTTCTTGCTGAGATGAGGTCAACCTTGTTCAAGTATTTCAAGTTTCTTTTTTCATTTTCATTTATTTGAAAGGCAGACACACACACACACACACACACACACACACACCATCTTCTGATTCATTTCCCACATGCCCGCAACAGTCACGGCTGAACCAGGCCAAAGCCAGGAACCTGGAACTCAATCTGGGTCTCCCACATGGGTGGTAGAGATCCAGGTACTTGAGCCATTACCTGTTGTTTCCCAGGGTGCACGTTAGCAGGAACTAGAATTGGAAGTGGAGTCCAGACTCAAACCCAGGCACTTGGACATGGGATCCAGGCAGCTTAACCACTGTGCCAAATGCCCACTCTCAACAAGAAGAGAACGTTGGTCATTACTGAGTTGATGAGAAAATTCAGTAAGCCAGAATATCCCACTTTTAAGCCTTGTGTTTGCAGTTGCTGGGTAGACTTGCCTTTCCTCCACTGTGTGATCATATCTGCACCCTGTGTGTCCTGGAAACACTTGGCAGAGGAACACAAAAGCAGCTTGGCATTGCTTCTGGTGGCCTGGAAAGGGGCTCTTGGTGGGGGGGCTTCGGCACAGCAGTTAAGACCCTGCTTGAGACACCCACATCCCGCAGCAGAGTGCCTGGTTCGAGTCCTAGCTCTGACACTTCTGATCCAGCTCTCTGCTACGTGCCCACCTTGGGAGGCAGCAGGTGATGGCTCAAGTACTTGGATCCCTGACACCCACGTGGGAGAACCAGATTGAGTTCCAGGGTCCTGGGTTTGGCCTGGTCCAGCCTTGGCATTGTGGGTGTTTGGAGTGAACCAGTGTCTCTCTGCCTTTCAAATACAATGAAAATAAGTAAATAAAATTTTCTCTTAAAAAAAAAAAAGAGGTTCCAGGGACCCAGCAGTTGACAATCTGTTTTAGGGACATTTTTATATGAGTACGTGCTATATTTGGCTTTGGGTGTTTGGTGTAGCACATCTATCAGAGCTGAACACAAGCTTTGGTGATGTGTTTTTAAAAGGCAGCACCTCACTGACCCAGGTGTGTCCTCGGCTACAGGGAGCTCCTCCCAGCACCGCTTCACTACTAATGCCCTAGCTTCGATGGGTCAGGGCTGGAACAGAGGGTAGAACTGACAGCTGCGGTTAGGGTGTGGGATGGGGGATGGCATCTTTCTGAGGCATGCGGAAATGTCATCGTTTGCAGTGTTGCTCCTTTGCAATTCAGCACATATCAGGTCACTTTAAAAAGTTCATGAGAAATAACATTTAAAGATACGTTTATTTTGTTGCCAACAAATTTTTGAAATCCATGCCTATGAAGGGTCTTCAAAAATCCATGGAAATGCATATTATTTTTTACATTAAAATTACATGGATTTCAAATATTTTTGCACCAAAATAAATTTACCTTCTAATTCCGTTTTCCACACATTTTATGAAGTACTCTCAAACAGTCATGTCCCACGTAAGCATGAAAACCTGCTCCAAGCTGCCATCTTGGAATGTTCTCACCTTTCTTCCTCCGACTAACAGTCTTGATGGCACACTTTTGTGTCAGACACTTGCACGATTCACGGGACTGTCCACAACATGTGAGCACACATGTACACACACACACACACACACACACACACATCTCTCCCATCCCGCTTCCATGTTCTTGCAGAGGAAGGGAATCTGTAGCCATCTTTTCCTTCCAAGAAAGGGTAAGCTCTGGAAAGATCGAGCTGCCTCTTGGTGGTCGTTCATGGCTTCCACCTACCTCCAGACCCAAGGCTGCCTCCAGGCTCTGGGCTGTGAATTGGTATCTGTATTTCCCAGATCCATTACTGGGCCTCGTGAGTCACAAAAGGTGTTCACGCTGCCACCATACGTCCCCTTCCCGGAGTGTCCGCTCATGTGTGGTGAGAGATTGAATGGAAAATGGAATTTGGATGCCAAAATGTTGCCATCTGGGAACACAGCAGAGGAACAGGGTAACTGACAAACCCAAAGTCCAGAAAATGCAGTCCGTGTGGTGTGGTCGTTACACCTTCAAAGCAAAGAGTCTGTAACATGGAGACAACAGAGCAGAGGACCGTGAAAGACGCAAATGCTTTCGAAGCAGCACAGTTGAAGGCCCCTGATGCTCAACGGGTGGGCGCTGTGATTCTGGATTCGGGAGGGCAGTAAAGGAAGGTTGAGCTTCAGCCAGGTGGACACCAGGTCCACATGGTGCCCCTTCTGGGGCAGCAGCCCCCCAACCACTGCAAAGGAAGTGGCTGTGGACTAGTGGTCCCCCAGTAATACACAGTAGCCTGGGATTTGGGATGGGTGTGGGATTGCCTTGTTTACCAAATTACCTTGTTTGGCAATAAAACTGACATCTGATGATAATTTTGGAAATTTTATTTTGAGATTTCCTAAACGATGGCTAAAATGACAAGATGCTTTAAAATATATGTCTTTCTTGGGCAAATGATGGTGTGCTTTTGTCCTGGTGATACTCCAAGTTCTGTGATAGCAACTTTAGCAGAACCAAGTAGGAGAGACTGGAGAACCACCATTGCAGAGGGGGAGTGGGGTCCAGTGGTGGAGGGTGTGGTGGCAGCTGGCAGGGATTCTGGGACCTATGGCTATCTCTGCTCTGCCCACATGGGAATGAGGAAGAAGGTGTGGGACTAGCCCAACCTGGGAGTGTGCTGATTGACTCGTAGGAGCAGGAAGGAAAAAGGTGGATGTGCCTTAGCATCACTTCATCCTCGACAAACGGCTTTCTCTGGGAAGCCTCAGCAATGCCCCGGTCTCCATTGCTGGCCCCCAGCCCTACAGGCAGCTGCATCTCCCCCGTGATGTTCAGTTGTGTGCAGGGTGAACAGTAGGCTGACCAGGCCAGCGCTGCAGCTCACTAGGCTAATCCTCCACCTGCGGCGCCAGCACACCGGGTTCTTGTCCTGGTCGGGGCGCCGGATTCTGTCCCGGTTGCCCCTCTCCCAGTGCAGCTCTCTGCTGTGGCCCGGGAGTGCAGTGGAGGATGGCCCTGCTTGGGCCCTGCACCCGCATGGGAGACCGGGAGAAGCACCTGGCTCCTGCCTTTGGATCAGCGCTGTGCGCCGGCTGCTCTCCCATTGGTGAACCAACGGCAAAAGGAAGACCTTTCTCTCTGTCTCTCTCTCTCTCACTGTTCACTTTGCCTGTCAAAAAAAAAAAATCAACAAAAAAACAAAAACAAAAACAGTAGGCTGACCCACAGTGGCTGTGCATGGGGAAGTGGGAACCCTGCTACCCTTGTTTGCCCTAGAGAGAGGCCCCAGAGGATCTCAGAAGCATCCTCATCCCTCAGCAACAGCGGAACAGGCAGAATGTGCCTCCCAGGAACAGCTCCTTGTTTGAAGAAACCTGAAGGGTGAAGCAAAATCCCGAACAGGAGGGGATGATTTTGCCAGGGCTGGGGTTGCAGGGTGATGACTGTATGCTAAGTACAGGGGACTCTAAAGCACTACACCTATGAGATCCCTATGAGGCAGGGACCATTGCTATTCCCACCTTAGATGATAAAGCGGAGGCACCAAGGTCCCGCCCCCAGGACACGTGATGCTGAGCTTGAAGTGTCTGCTCTACAGCATGCACCATCCCAGGGCCAGCAATGCAAGAGGCCCTTGTCCTGTCTCCAGCTGTGAGCCTGCGTGAGCCTTCGTCTTGTCCCTCTGTGCCAGCAGGGTCCATCTGTTCTAGTGAGGCCTGAGCTTTCTCTTTGCGATCTCACACATGGGCTTAGCAGTAGATGATTCCAGTGTCTGGCACCAGGACACTCGGGAGGACCCCTGTGTTATAGGTATCATTCCTGGCAGCTCAGCGTCACGTCACCTGCAGCTGGGACCCTACTCTGGCTGTAACCAGCTCTCCAGGTGCTTAGGATGTGCACTTACATGGGAACACGTCTGCTTTCCAATCCAGGAGTCATGAACCCCGTATACCTATTTACATGTGAACTAGTTAAGTTTAAAATAAAACTAAAAGTTCAGCCCCTCCATCACACTAGCCACATGACAAGTGTTCAGTATCCACACATGGCTGGTGGCCGCCACCCCAGACAACAAAGATACAGAACACTGCCGTCCCCGTAGAAAGCTCTAGGGCAGCGTTGGCATCAGCTGGGAGTTCACTAGAAATGAAGAACTCAGGCGCCACCCCAGACCTTCTGAATCTGCTTCCGTGCAAGGTCCCCAGGAGATGCACAGCGTACATTCGAGCTTGAGAAACACCGTGCAGAAAGCAGGCCCACCCCACACACGCCACCCTTTCCTTCCTGATAGGAGTTTAGTTAATTGGGATGAGTCTTCAATTTCCTGGGCCACCAGATCGTGAGATTTTAGAGCCCATAGGGAAGTTATACACCACCCATCCTATTTTACTTTTGTTTATTTGAGGGAGAGGGAGAGGGAGAGGGAGAGGGAGAGGGAGAGGGAGAGGGAGAGGGAGAGGGAGAGGGAGAGGGAGAGGGAGAGGGAGAGGGAGAGGGAGAGGGAGAGCACTCCCACCCACTGAGTCATTCCTCAAATGTCCACAACAGACCCTGGCTGGGGTTGAAGCTGGAAGCTAGGGGCTCAATCCAGGTCTTCCATATTGGTGGCAGGGACTCAAATACTTGAGTCATCACTGTCGCTCCCCCTCTTCATGGAGGAACGACACTAAACCCTGCCTAGGCTTCATATCCGAGTCACGGCACCATTATGTCGCTCCCCGTCTTCGTGGAGGAACGACACAGAACCCTGCGCTGTTCTTTCGTCTGCTCGGCCCTCCCCGGGTTTGCTGCTGGTTCTTCCCGGGTTGGCTACCGACCCTTCCACCTCCGTGGAAGGGCAGTTCCCCCTGCCACATTCCCCACTTCCGCGGGGGAGCGGCACACCGCCGGCCGGCTCTCTCGGGGGCTGCACAGGTGTTCCTTCAGATAGATGTTCCCCTTAGATGTTCCTGGTGCATGTTGTCTCTCTCCTCCTTTATAGTCCTCTTCCGCCAATCCCAACTCTGCTACCCACACGCCGAGTACGCTGCTCTCCTCCAATCAGGAGCAAGTCCTACAGTTTATTGGTTGAACTGGAGGCAGCTGTGTAGAAGCTGTTTCCCTTCTCAGCGCCATATTGTGGGAAAGCAGATGCATAGAATAAGTCTTAATTCCAGTAACTTAGTCTAGTCCCAGTTGCTCCCCACACATCACCAGTGCCTCCTAAGGTCTACACTAGCAGGGAGCTGGACCCAGAAGCTGGAGGCAGATTTTGAACCCAGGCAACTCTTGCATGGGACATGGGCATCCTAACCACTGGACCCAACATCTGCCTCCACCCCTCTTTTGACCGACACTCTGCCAGGGCTCCCTCTCTACACGCGTTCTCGTTCCTTGCATTCTGATCTGGTTGGGGTGGTTGTATGCGTCCAGGACTTGACCTTGACTCTCTCTAGGTATGTGATTTTCTAGAAGGCTTCATCCCACTGAAGGCAGAAAAAAAAAAAAAAAAGCTGTCCGTTAGGATGGCTTGATGAAATCTACCCTCTGCTTTCTTTGATTTTGAGCCTCCAACTGCCCAGTTTTGTTCTCTGGGTATTGTCTGCATTCAGTCCTCGCTGTTCATACACAGCTCACTGTTTTCTTTCATTATTAGATGGAGCCAGAGGTTGCGTGAGGAACTCTAGCTGTTCACCTGCAGCCATAGGGCTGGACCTACTCCCACTGCCACACCGGTCGCATACACAGGCCCTTCCCACTTCTTGCTAGAAATGCAGGGTTGAAGCAATTTGTTTGATGTGGGTCCAGCCAAAAGCCCTGATCCTAGGTCTCATAGCAGGCCTCTGTTGCCACAGGTGGACCAAGAATTTGACCTGGGTTTCCACTTCCTACAGCCACTAAAAGAAGTAGAACACATCAGAGGGAGGGAGGGGGGTAAGCAAAAATCTCTATAGAAAGGGACAAAGGGACAAGGTTGATTTATGAAAGGTTATTAAAATAAGTACAGGAGTGGGTGCTTGGCTTAAGACACCGATTAAGAGGTCCAGGTCTGGGGCTGGTGCTGTGGCGTAGCAAGTAAAGCTGCTGCCTGCAGTGCTGGCATCCCATATGGGCACTGGTTCAGGTCCTGGCTGCTCCACTTTCAATACAGCTCTCTGCTGTGGCCTGGGAAAGCAGTGGAGGATGGCCCAAGTGTTTGGGCCCTGCACCCACATGGAAGACCAGGAAGAAGCACCTGGCTCCCGGCTTCAGATGGGCGCAGCTCCGGCTGTTGCAGCCATCTGGGGAGTGAACTAGTGGATGGAGGACCTCTCTCTCTCTCTCTCTCTCTCTCTCTCTCTCTCTGGATTCCTGTCTCTAGGCTCCAGGCTTGCCCAGCTCTGACTGTTGCAAGTATTTGGGTTATAAACCAGAGGATGGCACCGTGTCTCTCTGCTCTCCCTCTCCTTTACAAAAAAAAAAAAAAAAAATACTAGCAATGAAAATATATGATTGCTTTTGCTTATGATCAGAACAATTAACAAATCTTTTTCCATGAGAAGCTGCTTCTGAGATACCTCTTCTCCATGTGGGCATCAGGATGGATCAGGTCTGTACCTCAAATAGGAAAACCAGTGCACAGACCCTTTCAAGGGAAGGGCAGGAGGCTCTGTAACTTGGAGGCACTTTGATACCATGTACGGTATTTGGAAGGTGAAGACTTGATGTGTGCACAGGGCATCGGACTTTAGAATGATTTATTTATTTATTTTCATAGATTTATTTATTTGAAGGGCAGATTTACAGAGAGAGATGGAGGGAGAGACAGAGACAAAAGAGAGATCTTTCATCTACTGGTTTCTTTTTTTAAAGATTTATTAATTTATTGAAAGTCAGAGTTACAGAGACAGAAGGAGAAGCAGAAAGAGAGAGAGAGAGAGAG